AAGACTTGGTGGTGAACGCAGAAAACTTCTTGGAAGGTTCAGTAGCCTTTATTCTCCAAGTGATGATGAGAGAAATGATGACAATGCGATTCGTTACATCAAAAGGGTCAACAGAGCCACCAGGGAACAGTGCATTAGACTTATTCAGATGGCTGGTGTTACCATGGGCATGTGCATGCAGTTGAAAGGTTGCAATGGTGATGTTTTCTCGAATGATGGTCCCGTGACAGGTGGAAACGTGCACAAAGGCAATGAGTGGCAACTGGTGCGGTGGACGTTGGGAGAATGGACAATCTCCACATCAACGAGTTGCATGTTCTACTTGGTGATGTTTGCCCTCCATGTGTTCTTCTACGCATTGGATTTGCTGCGATGGTGATTGGAGTTGGTTTTCAATTTTCAGGACCATTGGTGTGGAAACGCTACAGTTGGTTCCGAGGCTTTGCAATTCGCCATGCTGCGGTGATGATGGGCTTCAGATTCAGATGGATGGTGAAGCCAAGCTGGTGAGACAGTCGGCGTAGGTTTTTTCCATAGCCTACGGGCCAATTAGATGTTTGAATTCATACCAGAAGGGCCAAGAAGCGGTCCAAACTTAGTATGATTGATAAATGTGGTAGTCCATGTCGAAGCAAAGGAGTGCCAAGGTGGGGTGTCAGATTTGAGTCATGACACTCATGTGCAGTTGCAGGTCTTAGGCAAGTTGGAACGATACTGTGAAGATCAAACATGGCCAGTTTCTGTCCGCAAGGATGACACGCACAAACTGATGTGTGCTTGTGGCCCAACAAGTGGCTCAAAGGCGTCTGTCAAAATAAAGGGCTTCAGCGCCCTGTTGAATCTTCAGAAACATGAAACCAAAAGTTGGTGCCAAAACCTATCGTTTTCCAGTCAGAACCCTGCGTTAAAGAATGCAGATGGCAAATGACGGCAACAAATCCATGGGTTTTTATCGCAATTTCCCACGAACCAGTGCCATGTTGGGAGTATACCGCACATGTGCAAACATTTAATTTGAGCATCAAACAAAACACGGGGAGAGCACATGCATGTCGGGAGAGTTCCGAGTGCATACCAAACACCAAGTGCCCCATCGATTGTGGCTGACAAATGGGCCAACAGAAACTGTTGACGATGGGGGGTTGGGGGGTTGTTGCTGGGATAACAATCTTAAAACTACAGTTTCCGCATATTTTTGATTATTTATCAAATGAACTTCAGTGGTATCCCCGACAGCCGCAATGATTAGGGTTTACAAATCTTTCTGACGCGTGCTGCGAAACCACGCGCTGGAAACACCTGTTGAACCTGACCTGGCTCTACACCAAAGCCTCCCAGACCTTCTCCGGAACCTTCTCCGGAACCCTGTTGAACTTGACCTGGCTCTGCACCAAAAGCCTCCCAGACCTTCTCCGGAACCTTGGAACCTTCTCTGGACTTGGCTTTCCACCAAGGCTTCCTGGAACCTTCTCCGGAACCGTCTCCGGAACCCTGGTGACCCCTGTTGAACCTGACCTGGCTCTGCACCAAAAGCCTCCCAGACCTTCTCCGGAACCTTCTCCCAAACCCTGACCTGGCTCTGCACCAAAGACTCCCAGACCTTCACCGGAACCTTCTCTAAAACCCTGTTCCTGGCTCTGCACCAAAGCTTCCCAGACCTTCTCCAGAACCTTCTCGGGAACCCTGTTGAACTTGACCTGGCTCTGCACCAAAGCCTCCCAGACTTTTATCGGAACCTTCGGAACCTTCTCCGAAACTTCTTTGAACCTGACCCGGCGCCTGCACCAATGCACACCGGAGCTATTCTGGGCTGAAGACCCCATTACTTTACGCTGTTGGGGAAAAAATGCAGATCAACTATTTGTGCGCAGAACGTGTCATGTTTTTGAAAAATAATGTCTCAATGTGCTAGCTGCTAGCTGCTAATTCTTGGTATGCGTGCCATTTGTGGTTCGAGTCTAAACCAGTTTTGCACACAGGGAAAAACAGGCGCAATTGGGAATAGCGGTGGGCAGTGGGCTACAGGAAAACGTTTTTTTTCATACAGGGATGATTTCTGCAGTTTGCAACTTGGAAATATTCCCCAAAATTATGCCAATCATATATTCAAATCAAGGCTTACAATATCCTTAAAAATGGCATCATTTTACAACATTCGTTAATAAAATCATGTAATATCATGTAACATTTAATAAGATCTGACGACATCCTTCGACATCTTATAACATGTCCCAACCCACATATACCATTATAGGCACATTAGATCTCTTGGATCATCCCCAGCAACCCAGGCCATGGCCGAAGCGGCCAGTCTTATCGAGAAGTACAGGGTGGATGGAGGTGCTGTTTTTTTGGGTCAACGGCGGTCAACCACACCTTTCGGCCTCGTTGTTGGGGATATCATGGGGATATCGCTAACAGCATGGGATTTGGGATCATCATGAGTTTGATCACGACCTTGTGGCAATCGCCAAACACATTTTTTCAGGTGTGTGACCGACTATGATTTATCGACAACTATATATCTCTGCATGAATACACACAATCGCCATAGTGGACTTGATCCCCATACTGCACACATACAGGTATATGGGTATACAATATTGGTGAAAATGAAAGACCTTGGAAATCACAGATTTTAGTCTAGTTTTAGCATTGACCATCCAAAAAAGTGTCCCAATTTTGACCCATACCCGTGTCTGGTCCACCTGAAACAGAATGGCTGGTCATACTTGAGTCTTCTTATTCATTTTTTCATTGGGGTGTCCAATTTCCTCCGAAACCCGGATCATCCGAATTGGTATAGTCACAAGATATCCACGGGATTGGTACAAAGAATTTCCCTAGTGCTTGGTGTATGTCGGTGTTCACAAGATATCCTATGAATCCATCACATCCTTCCTTTGTTACACGTTCAAATTCATTTTTTTCTCCAAAATCTTCCACTTGCCCTCTGGGAATCAAACATGGCAATGTTTTTTTTAAATCCATCATTGATAGATGAATTTCCGAATAAAACCTCCATTTATCGGGAATCTTCCAGCTTGCCGCGGTCGGGATAAATCCATTTCTGGTAGATCAGGTGGCGACCTGTCAAAGGCCGCAGAGACTCATCAAAGCATCCTGAGCTTCAAACCAGATTGGGAAAGCTATGAGGCGAGAAATTCAAGCGATACCCTGGATACCCTCCAGCGAGTTACATGGTGTTGCGCCGCTGGGAAATCTGCCATGAAGGTTTCAATGAACGATTTTCATGCAAACCATGTTTGATTAGCAGAGGTTATTTCGTGGGATACATGGGGTAAAACGAATTTTATGGGGAACGCTATGAGGCTTTTTGGTTTCTTTTATTCCAAAAACACTTAAAGGATCTAAAAGGAATATAGTTGGAATGTCATCCCGAAAGGATTGAAACACATCCTTTTCCCTTATATTTTGATGATACATTTTTTTGAATCTTTTTGGCGATGACTGTAGAATATCAACTGGTTGACCAGAAAAGAATCGACAATTTAGCCGCAGAACAGGGAACCTTTTACCGGCAATGTGACTTTGGCCAACATGGTCAAAACTATTTCTACGCTCACAGCGGGTAGTTTGTCAGAAAAAGTTAATTCTTTTCATTGCTGGGTAAAACATGGTCGCCCATTCCTGATGGTTATCGGTGATTATGCGCTTATGACTTGTGTATATATATATATATATACGTACGTGAATCTATATATTTTATGTACCTGTGCATGTATATTCATATGTATAGTTATACGTGCATTGACATTTATATTCATATTCATCTTTGCATGTGTTTTGCAACGGCTCCTTGTAACTTCTGTCGGCGGCAAGAATCTGATCCGTCATCAGATGACACTTAGAAAGGCCGGATCGACACCAGCTCAGAGGCTGATGGAGAAACCAGGCGCAATACACACACATAATCACATATATATATGTATATATATATGTATAATAGCTATATGTATACATCTTGATTCTGGCAATTTGTCAGGCCACAAAAGCTTCAGCGCATGTCTTGAAGTTGATCGAAGCGGATGCCCCCGCCTGGAACTCAGAAGGCTGTGTTTCCAGCAGATTTGACAACTCTCAGATTTGACAACTCTCAGATTTGACAATCTCAATAAAGTCAGAATATTTGACCATATCTCCAATCTTTTTTTCGCATTTACAATGTTTTTTCACCAGATTGTTTTCACCGTGATTGTTGGGATGTAGACGTACGTAGATTCTGACTGACCCACAGGAAGCCTACCATAGGACGCCATGAGGATTGGCCTGCAGATCGCCATAAGAATTGCTGAAAATCGTGTTGTGTCAACGGCACTATAAAAACCATTTGAAAAGATAGGAGATAGGAACTAACAACCATCATTTTCATCGGATAGCCAAGCAATTTCATTTTGGACTTTGGCTATCATATTTTCAGAGCCACATAATGTCCACGATGTTGGGAATGACCCTTGATGCATCATGGGTTAACAGTGAACATTCATGCGGAGTTGGCCGATTTCCAAGGCGATTAAGAACAAGTCCATGATTCAAGGCTGGGCAGCGCCGGAAAACACATTGATCTTTTTTTGCTGGATTTTCATGGGATTTCTATCATGATAGTAGGTTGATGGTTTTATGGGGACTGATATTACTATGTATTACCACAATCTTCTCATGATCTACTATGTTTATGATCTTGCTATGATGTTGCTACAAACAATGAGATGATGGCTATAGTGGACTGTCAGACATTTTAAGCTCTACCAGAAACCGGAAATTTCGAGATGCTGTGCTTGAGGATGGGGATTGAATCCTCACAGCCATTTTAAGTGGGAAGGGATGACAAACCTGACAAACCATTGAATTGTGGGGTACTCATATTCTTTTCATACAAACCCATATTACAGGTCCCTCACTTTCCCAACCAATTTTTCCTCTTTTGATCATACTCTCCTAGTCTTGTTGCAGGTCATATCCAGGTGGTGCAAGCCTGTATGAACGTCATGGCCATGCGACCCTTGGCACGAAATGCTGAACGAAATAGGAATGTCATGGAATGTCGAAATGTGTTGCAGAAGTGCTTCAAGAAAAAACTCCTTGTCGTTGGCATCCTTGGTGTCTTGGTTCCGTGAACTGGCAGTATCAGTACCTGATCCTGATCCAAGGAGACGACAAGCCAATCCAGTGGCTCCTGACGTTGTTCTACGACATGCTTCGAGAAGACAGCAGTAGTCGCTTTGTGTCATGGGTTTCGATGGGTTTCGACCGGTCATCCATGCCTAAAACTTTTGGCTCCGCGGCCCAGTGGCCCAACGGATGTGGGCCAAGCGAAGCCTGTAGTAAATAAAACGTCTTATGCTTGTTGATGTAAAGGCTTCTTGCTGTAAACACTAGTGTTTGTAAAAGCTGATTGGCATAAAAGCAAAGTTGGATAGAATGGAATGTTGGATAGAATGGAATGGGTATTTAAACTGGGTTGTGCAAGAACTAGTTTGTGTAAAAGCACGTTGGTGTAAAAGCTAATTGGCACAATAGCTTGTTGATGTAATTTAGTTTGTGCAAAACCTGTTTTGTGTAAGAATCTGGTTGTTTTCAAGAGCTAGTCTGTGTAAAAGCTAGTTTGTGCAAAAGCTGGTTGGTATAAAATCATATAAAATATAGTTTGTGTAACAGCTAGTCCTTTCTTTTTTAGGTGCTTGGAAAACATGCACCGAAAAGTATAGGACAGGCGGCCATGCCTCAGGTTACGTGATCTTTGAGGAGGCGACCAAACAGAAGATCGAGGCGAGGGATTTGGATTTCCCATTTGGGACAACTGGGAGTCTAATGATTTGTTGTCATGATGTTGTCATGGGTGATTTTGAAAAAAAACCAACTGAGTTTTCTGAGGATTCTCAGTTTTTCAGGTTTTAGCGTTTTTGGTTTTATTCTCTGTCAAAGGGCGTTGCCTCCAAGATGTGGATGCAGATGAAGGAAACATGGTAATTCTCTGGAAACATGTGGGCAAATGGAACCAGAAAACTTCGCCATTTGACCATGAACACAACGATTTTGACACACCCTGAGAAGTGATGTATGCAATTGACATCAGGCGGATGGAGAGAATATGACAAGCACTGATCCGATTCCTAAAATAACAACTATCTGGAAGCCGCTTCCCTTCGAGGTCTACAAACCTCTCATGACTTTGCTGTTGCGGCCTGGTTTGGACAACTACACGGCGGACAAGGTGCGCTTCGTTGGCAAGATGTTCACACGATCAGAAAGTTTCTGGATATCTCAGACGGATCTGGGATTTAGGGGAAAAGTTGCAGGATACTCCACATTTAAATGGTAAGGAACATGGTTTGATGTACAGAAAAACCCTTAAACCAAGAGAGTAAGGATAGAAACCAATGGATCTCTAGCAATGATTCTGAAAGACATGAACCCCTTCCTGTCCATGTTGGGAAACCTAGGGGACTACTGATGTGGGGCATCCCCCAGTCTTTGTGGCAGCCGTGGCAGGTGAGTTGGCTGCTTTCGGCAGTGATCAGCCATGTTCCTGCGGTGGTTGCCAAGGCTGCACACCTAATTTGGCGGATCCATAGGCTGTGGTAGTTGTCAATGCCTGGTGAGTCTTTGTTGGTGGCTTTGACTTTTATCTGAATCCTAAAGATGTTGTTTTGTGTTGTTTTTGTTCCCCTTCACTTCTTCTCGCTAGTGAGACAATTTACAGGGGCTTGCAGGTTCGCGGTCTCATCTATTTGTTCTTTTAACCATTTTTTTGATGATTCCTAAGGAGGAGCATGTATATCACAATATGGGGGTTTCCAGAAATGGGGATACCCCAAGTTTTTTCTGGTTTATAATGGAAAATCCCATTCAAATGGATGATTTAGGGGTACCTCCATATACCGGGAAATGCCCATATATCCCATATATCCCCATGAAATATACCCATATACCGGGTGGCTCCATCGCGACGAGGCCAATGTGCAGGAGTTCCTCAACGTGATTATGGATTCCGCCAAGACGAACTGTTCAGAACTGGGACAGCTGGAGGTGCCTGTTTCATCGTTATAACATGAGTCATTGTCATCAATCGAATACTGAATATACTGAATAGATTCAAGATGATTCAAGATGATTCAAAACTATCTGTTTCGGATTCTGAAGAGAAAACCAGCAGTTTTTGAGACGGCATGGTAAAAACACATCGATTGCCCTGGAGGCGATCACCAATTTGCTGAAGTCCGATGCATACAGAAAGTTCACGTGGTCTCAACCAGGCACCACTGCTACCATCCCCGAAAGTGATGGAAATGGATGCTATGACCCAGCAATTTTTTGCTGGCAGGTGAATCCCACATGATTCAGCTGTCGAAACCAGTGCGAAATGATAAATCCTGATCTCGCATGCCTCCTGTCAGGAATTTCCGAGCTCATCTTCAGGCGACGCAAGAGCACATGCCAAGTTGTGAACTGCAGCCAGCGTCATGTCACGGCCAGGATACAGCCAAAGACAGCACCATCACCGCACTTGTACAAGCACCTTGGCTGGCCGCCAGTGTTTGATGAGAGTGGCACGGCTTTCCAAGCCTTTCCACGCCTTTCCAAGCCTTCCAAGCCTTTCCCCAAGCCTTTCCAAGCATTTCCAAGCTTTCCAAGCCTCAAACGAGCCAAATTACGAAGAGCAATCGACAAAAAATCATAACGGGGTAAACAAAATGCCACCATCCCCAAGTCATCACCATTTTTGATGGGTGGATATGGGTGGTATGTTTACCATCCCTGATCATGGTAGTGACTTAGTTGTTCATGGTAGCCAGGGTGAATCCAACGTTGGAAGAGTCACTCTTTCGCCGATCCAAGGTGCATCTTTGCAATCTGGGCACTGCGACTTGCCTTATGAGTTGCATGTCACGTCACGAGTGCAGAGTGCTAGCGGTGATGGCTGAGGTCCTTTGATCAAGAGATCACAGCTTCATTGAAGGAGCATGGCTGAGCAAAACCCTTCTGACCCTTTTTTTGGCAAGATGTTTTCGAGCCAAAACACACCTATATCAATGCGAGGGTGAAGAACATATACAAAAAGGCAGGGAACAACAAAAAGCCATAAAAAGCCAAAAAAAACAATCTAGCCCCCATCTCATCACCCCATCTTCAGTTGAGTTTTGGATGTTTTGGTCAGGAGATGCATGTCATCAAGAAGTTGAGAGAAGCTTTGACCTACAGCCGGGTTGAGAAGGTGCGGATTCCGTGCGGATTCCGTGCGGATCTGGTGCATCTCCAGAGACCTGCGACCTGCGGCGCCTGCGGCGCAGGTGATTCGCTTGTGCCTCACCCTGTTGAAGAACTTCCTGGGTAGCTGGCTCAGCTGAATCACAGGATTTTGATTCGCACATGGAATCAATGGAATCAATGGAATCCCCCCAAAATGGCTAGGATTTGCATCTCCCAAAGCCATATTTTTGCGGGGTCCATGGTTTTTTTTGACTGAAAATGACTCATAATCTGCGACGTTTGTGCCACAGAATTGTTCTATTTGATTCTGTTTCGTCTTCTTCTTTTCTTGCACCTGCAGTGTGGTTGCATACCCAGGCAACAAGAGCCTTTGTGAGGATATTGTCGAGGAAGGAATTTTGGAGGCATGGAACTACTTGAGATGTCTAACCCAAAAGTCCCATGGTTGATCTTTTCTAAAATCAACATATCTTCATAAATG